AAGGCAGACCCTTGGGGGGAAAAAGGGGAAAGGAGAACATCTGGGGGGCAAGATGGGGCTCCTGGACACACGGACCGGAAAAAAACGAGAATACCTTGGGAAAGTGGGGGAAGGGGAGAAGTCTAGGGGGCACCCGAGGGCTCCCCGGACCACGGGACCTGGGAAAAAAACGAGAATACCTTGGGAAAGGGAGAATATCTAGGCACAAAGGGCTCCTGACACTGGACTGGGAAAAAACGAGAAAAACCCCTTTGGGGGGGGGGGGAAGGGGGAATATCTGAGGCGGGGGCAGGTGGACCCCCTGGACCCCATGGACCCGGAAAGATGGAGATACTGGTTTTTAAGGCCCGACCTTTTGGGGAAAATGGGGAAGGGGGGAACATCTGGGGGACACAAAATGGACTCCTGGACCAAGGACCTGGTAAAGATGGGGATTTTCTTTGGGTTTCTAAAGGGAGCCCCCGGGAAAATAGGGAAAAGGGGGAAAATTTTTAAAGGGGGCAAAAGATGGACCCCCGGGGAAAACAAGGACCTTTGGGAAAAAGCGAGAATACCCTTTGGGGGAAATGGGGAAGGGGGAAAATCTGAGGCGGAAAATGGACTCCTGGACACTTTGGAAACCCGGGAAAGATGGGGATACTGGTTTTTAGGCAGACCTTGGGAAAGGGGGAAGGGGAAACATTGGGGACAAGATGGGACTCCTGGCCCCACGGACCCGGGGAAAAACCCAGGGAAAACTTTGGGAAAATGGGGGGGGGGAAAGGGGGAACATCGGGGGGGACACAGATGGACTCCCGACACCGGGCCCGGGAAAAACGAGAAAAAACCTTTGGGAAAGTGGGGGAAAGGGGGGGTATCTGAGGGGGACAAAATGGAAATCCGGAACATGGACCCCGGGAAGATGGGGGGAAAATTTTTGTAAGGCAGGGCCCTTGGGGGGAAAAGGGGGGAAAAAAAGGGGGAACATTGAGGGGGCACCGAAAGGGGTCCTGGAAAACAAAGGACCTGGGGAAAAACCCAAAAATAGCCCTTGGGGGAAATGGGGAAGGGGGGGAAAAACTGGGCGGACAGAGGAACCCCCGGACAAAATGGACCTGGGAAAAGCGAGAATAAACCCTTGGGGGGAAATGGGGGAAAAGGGGGGAACTAGGCGGGGCCGATGGAAATCCTGGACATGTACCTGGGAAAAATGGGGATACCGATTGCTAAGGCGACCTTGGGAAAGTGGGAAGGGAAAAAATCTGAAGGGGGCACCCGATGGACTCCTGGGGCCCCGGGGCCTGGGAAAAAAGAATACCTTGGGGAAAATGGGGAAGGGGGAAAAGTTGAGGGAAAACAGATGGGTCCTGACACCCCGGACCTGGGGGAAAACGAGAATCCTTTGGGGAAAAAGGGGGAATATCTGAGGCGGGGAAAATGGACTCCCCGGGCACATGGACCCGGGAAAAAAACGAGAATACCTTGGGGGAAATGGGGAAAGGGGAATAAACCGGGCGGACAGGTTGGGGCTCCTGGACACATGGACCTGGGAAAAAGGGGGGGTACTGGTTTCTAAGGCAACCTTGGGAAAGTGGGGGGAAAGGGGGAAAAATTTGAGGGGCACAGTGGACTCCTGGGCACATGGCCTGGTAAAATGGGGGGGTACTGGTTGCTAAGGAGACCTTTGGGGGGAAAATGGGGAAGGGGGAACATCTGAGGGGACACAGATGGACCCTGGAAAAACGGAAACCCGGGAAAAGCGAGAAAAAACCCTTGGGGGAAATGGGGAAAGGGGGGTATTGAGGCGGATAGGGTGGGCTCCTGGACAATTTACCCCGGGAAAGATGGGGATACTGGTTTTCAAAAGGGAGACCTTGGGAAAATGGGGGAAAGGGGGAAAAAAACTGGGGGGGGGACACAGATTGGGCCCTGGACAACGGACCTGGGAAAAAAACGGAATACCTTTGGGGGAAATGGGGAAAAGGGAAAAAATCTGAGGCGAACGAAGGCCCCCTTGGGCACATGGACCGGGAAAAGGGGATACTGGTTTCAAAAGGGAGACCTTTTGGGGAAAATGGGGAAGGGAGAAAAAAACGGGGGGGACACAGATGGGGTCCTGGACACATGAAACCCAAGGAAAGCATAAAAAAAACAGTAAGTGGGCCCTTTAAAAAAACCCGGCCTCCACGGGCAAGGTCCCGGTTAATCGAGATTTAAATCTGAGGTGACGTGGTCGCAAATAATAATGACTAATTAGATTTCTTTAAAACTGACATGGGATTTAGTGTTTTGGGAGCTTTAAGAAGGAGGGTGTTTTGGGCTCGACCCGGGTTTTTTCCCTTTTTTAAAAAAAATCCTTATACTTTCCATCTAAAAAATTTTAAAAATATTTTTTTTTTACATATGAAAAGATTATTATATATGGAATCCGTACAGCTGAGATGTTTGGGGCTTTTATTTCCCTTTTTGTTTAGGGTTAATTTCAGTGACAAAACTTTAAATTTTTGCTACCTTTTCCCGAGTTTAATAAAAAAAAAAAAGCGAAAAGGAATGAAAAGAAGTGAAACCCCCGTTTCCCGATGAGAGTGAAAACCAGAGTTTTGTCCCCCCACAATCTAGCTACCCCAACTTTGGGAAGGGGGTCTCGCCCGGTGAAAAGGTCTTTATCCTTTTTCCCCTTTCGATTCTGATTTTTCCCTTTTTATTTTATTTCAAAAAAACCCTTCCCCAACAATAAACATTAAAAAATCGGGGCCCCGGGAAAACAGTTAACACAAAAAAACAAAGACAAAAATATTTTTTTTTTATTAAAACCCTGGGAAAATTTTTTGAGGGTTTTGAACTGTTTAACGGAGCCCGAAAAAACCCCCATTGGGGCAATGATAAACTCTCAAAACAACATTTAAGCTGACTGGGAAAAAAATCCTTGAATTGACCCATATAAATTTTTTTTTTTTAACATGTACTTTGATTTGAAAAACTTTTCTCCCAAATCCAAAATGATTTTTGGGTCACACTTGCATTAAAAAGACTGTGAAAGCTACGGGAAAACCCCGGTTTACGATTTGGGTTTAAAAGTTAAGGGGGAGGCCCCTGCTGGAGGATAACGCATTTAAATTTTTGGTTGAAAAAGAAAAAATTTGGTTTAAAAAATTACTTGTAATGGTGTTAAATGAAGGGAAATTTTTTGGTAAGGGATTTGGGTTTAAAAGTTGTTGTGATGATGGTTGATGGTAAAATTGAAATGAAATTTTTTGTTTTTTTAATTTGAGTTGTTTGGGCAGTGAAGTCATGGAAATAGGGTTTTCAACTTTGATAATTTTTAAAAAAATGATGGGTGAAAATATGATAAAATTTTTTTGGGTGTTGCTTTTTTGTAGGTGAGTTTAGTGAGGGTTTGGTTTTATGATTTGTTGAAATTAAGCTGATGATTGGGTTAATATTGGTGTAGAGAGTTAATAAATTGTTTGTTTATTCTTTTTGTCCCAATGGCATGATCGCTGGCCCCGATCCCCAAAAAGAAACTCTGTATTGCATAACCCGGGCCCCCCTACCTTACTTTTTTTCCTGTTTTTTTCTTTTTGTTTACTGTACCTTTTTATTCTTTTTTTACTGTATTGTTCTATAAAATTTTGTAAAGATTATTTTTCATTAAAAAATGTCCAAAATTTTTGTGCCGGATGTCTTTGTTTGGGGCAATATTTTAGCTTCCCGTTTTACCCCAAAACCCAAATTAGAAAAGAAGGAATTTTTCGGTGATAACTGTCAGGTGACGTTTTACAGCACACTGGTGTGACAGCAGAGCCAACAGGTAAAAGAGGCGCTGCTGTGATAAAAAGAGGGAAAACAGGTCACAGCCGGGGAAACAGGTCCCCGAAAAGAGTCCCTTTAAAAGGGTTTTGAATTCCCCCCTTTTAAATTTTAAATTTAAACCCCCATAAAATGAAATTAAAAATTTTAAAAAATATAATACATTAAGTAGTTTAAAAAAATAATCTGGGGTGTCCCCCTCTGTAATTACAACTGTCTGTAAATTTAAAGGGTATTAAAAAAATTTTTTCAAATATCGTAAATGGGGAATGCCCCCATGAGGGGGGTGTCACATTTTTAAGAGTTTTGTTCCCCTTTGAGGGAAAAGGTTTGAGGTTGACAGGTTTCCAACGTCCCCCTTTAAGTGTACTATAACCCGTTTTGGGGTTTTACCTTTTAGATTTAATGGTAAATTTTTTTGAATATGTGTGTGAGGTTTAGCACCTTATTACACACTGCAAAAAAAGTGTTGAGTGTGGGGGGAGTACAGAACACATTAGCAAATTAAACCCAAAAAGTGCAGAGATTGACAAAATCATTGGGCAAAAATTTAACATAGGGTCGAAAGGGTGTTTTCCCTTAAAAAGCTCTTTTTGCAAAGAATGTCTTCCCCTTTATTTTTTAAAAAGCAAACCCGCATCACCTATCTTTTAGAAATATTTTATAATTAAATAATTTAATATAGCCCAAAAGGGAAATTTTTGAGTAATTATCATACTCAGAACGAGAGAATTATATATTACTGAAAAATGATGTTTTGTCCATTAATTAACAGCTATTATTATTAGGTGTTCAACATTTATTGTGTGCAACTCCTGAGCAAGCGAACTACAACACCATGTTACACATAATGATCTTCATCATTTTTAATTATTAAGTTATGGTTCATAAAAGTCTTCTCGTTATGTTTCTTAAATAAAAAAAAAAAAAAAAAAAAAAAAAAAAAAAAAAAAATTCAATCTAGTTACATGTGAGAGATTGTCAACAGTCAGAGATTCGAATAAAGTTAATGATAAAACAAATTTATACAATTATTCCGATCCTAGAAATGACAAAATTTTGATCCCAACATCTAAAAAAATCTTTCGTAAATACTGCAAAGAAGTGGTATTAAAATTACTCCTCTAAATAATAAACAATATGTTTACTTTCTAACAAGTAAATAAATATAGTTTATACTATACATTTTCACATAAAAGCGAGTGGCGGCCATGATGGGTGGCCAGAGTGAGTTTGTTAAACAGGGTTGGATGGATGGTATGGGCCAGAGTGAGTTTGTTCAACAGGGTTGGATGATGGGTGGCCAGAGGATGTTTGTTCAAACAGGTTGGATGATGGGTGGCCAGAGTGAGTTTGTTCAAAACAGGTTAGATGATGGGTCGCCAGAGGTGGAGTTTGTTCAACAGGTTGGATGATGGGTGGGGCCTGGCCAGAGTGTGTTTGTTCAAACAGGTTGGATGATGGGATAGGCCCAGAGTGAGTTTGTTCAACAGTTGTGATGATTGGGTGGCAGGAGTGAGTTTGTTCACCAGGTTGGATGATGGGTCGCAGAGTGAGTTTGTTAACAGGTTGGATGATGGTGTGGCCAGGACGTGAGTTTGTTCAAACAGGTTGGATGATGGGTGGCCAGAGTGTGTTTGTTCAACAGGTTGGTTGATGGGTCGCCAGAGTGAGTTTGTTCAAACAGGTTGGATGATGGGTGGCCAGAGTGAGTTTGTTCAACGGTAGGATGATGGGTCGCCAGAGTGAGTTTGTTCAAACAGGTTGATGATGGCGGGCCAGAGTGGGTTGTTCAACAGGTTGGATGATGGTCGGCCAGAGTGTGGTTTGTTTCAACAGGGTTTGGGATGATGGGTCGCCAGAGTGAGTTTGTTCAACGGCTGGATGATGGGGTGGGCCAGAGTGAGTTTTGTTCAAACAGGTTGGGATGATGGTGTGGCCAGATGGAGTTTGTTCAACAGGTTGGATGATGGGTCGCCAGAGTGAGTTGTTCAACAGGTTGGATGATGGGTCCGCCAGGGAGTGAGTTTGTTCAATAGGGTTGGATGATGGGTGGCCAAGAGTGAGTTTGTTCAACAGGTTGGATGATGGGTCGCCCAGAGTGAGTTTGTTCAACAGGTTGGATGTGGGTGTTGGCAGAGTGAGTTTGTTCAACAGGTTGGAATGATGGGTGGCCAGAAAGTGTTTGTTCAAACAGGTGGTGATGGGTGCCAGAGTGAGTTTGTTCAACAAGTTGGATGATGGGTGGCCAGAGTGAGTTTGTTTTAACGGTTGGATGATGGGTGGGCACAGAGTGAGTGTGTTTGTTAACAGGTTGGATGATGGGTGGCCAGAGTGAGTTTGTTCAACAGGTTGGATGATGGGTGGACAGAGTGGGGGGGGGGGGGGGGTTTGTTCAAACAGGTTGGATGTTGGAGGGTGGCCAGAGTGAGTTTGTTCAACTTGTTGGATGATGGTCGGTGGCCAGAGTGAGTTTGTTCAAACAGGTTGGATGATGGGTGGCAGAGTGAGTTTGTTCAAACAGATTGATGATGGAGTGGCCAGAGTGATTTTGTTCAACAGTTTGGATGATGGGTGGCCAGAGGTGAGTTGTTCAACAGGTTGGATGATGGGGGCCAGAGTGAGTTTTGTTCAACAGGTGGATGATGGGGTGGCCAGAGTGAGTATGTTCACAGGTTGGATGTGGGTGGCTAGAGTGAGTTTGTTCAAACAGGTTGGTAGATGATGGGTGACCAGAGTTGAGTTTGTCAACGTTGGATGATGGTGGCGAGTGAGTTTGTTAACAGGGTGGATGATGAGTGGCCAGAGTGAGTTTTGTTCACAGGCTGGATGATAGGTGGCCAGAGTGAGTTTGTTCAACAGGTTGGATGATGGGTGGCCAGATTGTGTTGTTCAACAGGTTGGATGAATGGGTCGGCCTGAGTGAGTTTGTTCAACAGGTTGATGATGGGTGACCAGAGTGGAGTTTGCTTAACAGGGATGGAATGATGGGGTTGGGCCCAGAGTGAGTTTGTCCAAACTGGGTTGGATGATGAGTGGCAGAGTGGTTTGTTCAACAGGCTGGATGATAGGTGGCCAGAAGTGAGTTTTGTTTAACAGGTTGGAATGATGGTGGCCAGAGTGAGTTTTGTTCAACAGGTTGGATGAGGGGTGGCCAGAGTGAGTTTGTTCAACAGGTTGGATGTTGGTGTGGCAAGAGTGAGTTTGTTCAACAGGTTTGATGATGGGTGGGCCGGAAGTGAGTTTGTTCACAGGTTGGGATGATGGGTCGCAGAGTGAGTTTGTTCAAACAGGTGGGATGATGGGTCGCAGAGGTTGAGTTTGTTCAACAGGTTGGATGAGGGGTGGCCAGATGTGAGTTTGTTCAACAGCGTGGAGGATGGGTGGGCCAGAGTGAGTTTGTACAACAGGTTGGGATGATGGATGGCAAGAGTGAGTTGAGTTTGTTAACAGGTTGGTGAGGGGTGGCAGAGTAGTTTGTTCAACAGGTTGGATGATGGGTGGCCAGAGTGAGTTTGTTCTAACAGGTGGATGATGTTGGCAAGAGTGAGTTTGTTCAAACAGGTTGGATGAGGGGGTGGCCAGAGTGAGTTTGTTCACAGGTTGATGATGGGTGGCCAGAGTGTGTTTGTTCAACAGGTTGGAATGATGGGTGGCAGAGTGAGTTTCGTGTATAGGCAAGAGGATAACATCTTGTAGGAGTAGGAGGAAGAGCCAGTTTGTGAGTGTGGGGGAAGTTCGTGAGGCAGTAGGTAAAATTGAAAGGGGGGGCTTAAGGCGAGCTGGGATTGATGGGATAAAGACAGAATGATTAAAAGCAGGGGGGGATATAGTTTGGAGTGGTTGGTGCTATTTATTTAATAAATGGTATGGAAGAGGGTGTTAAGGTACTAGGGATGGCAGAGAGCATGCATGTTCTTTGTATAAGGCAAAGGGTGTATACTTGTTGAGTATACCTGGTAAAGTGTTATGGTAGAGTTATTATTGAAGATTTTAAGAGTGAGACGGAGAAGGGATAGCAGATGAAACAGGACGCTTTAGGAAAGGTAGGGGGTGTTGTATTAGACAGGTGTTTACAGTGAAACATATAAGTGAACAGTATTTTAAGATAAGGCTAAGGAGGTCTTTGTAGGCGTTTAAAGGTATTTGGAAAAGGTTGTATTGATGACAGGTGTGGATACGGGGGGGCATGTGACAGATGTTGCGATGTATGCTATAGGAGGTAGGGTTATGAAGCAGTGAGAGTTTTTACTAGGATAGTGAGGGCTAAAGTTAGAGTATGTAGGAAAGAGGGAGATTATTTCCAGTAAAAGCAGGCCTTAGACAAGGATGTGTGATGTCTCACTCCGTGGTTGTTTAACATATTTAAAGTTGGGGTTGTAAGAGAAGTAAAGCGAGGGTCTTGGCAAGCGGTGTGGAGTTAAAAGATAAAGAATCACACATAAAGTGGGGAGTTGTCACAGTTGCTCTTTGCTGGACACTGTGCTCTTGGGTGATTATGAGAGAAGTTGCAGAGGTTGGTGGATGAATTTTGGTAGGGAAGTTTAAAAGAGAAATTGGAAGTGAAAATACTGGAAAGCGTAAGAGTTATGAGGATAACAAAAAGATTTGGTGATGAAAGATTGATATCAGATTGGTGGGAGGGGTATGGAGGAGGGGATGTATTTCAGATATTTGAGAGTGGATTGTCTTCGGGATGGGTATATGAAAGATTGAAGGTGGAATCATAGAAAATGATAAGGGGAAAAGGGTGAGCGGTGCACTTAGGAGTCTGTGGAGACAAAGAACTTTGTCCTTGGAGGCAAAGAGGGGAATGCATGAGAGTGTAGTTTTACCAACGCTCCTGTATGGGTGTGAAGCATGGGTGATGAATGTTGCAGCGAGGAGAAGGCTGGAGGCAGTGGAGATGTCATGTCTGAGGGCAATGTGTGGTGTGAATATAACGCAGAGAATTCGAAGTTTGGAAGTTAGGAGGAGGTGCGGGATTGCCAAAGCTGTTGTTCAGTGGGCTGAGGAAGGGTTGTTGAGGTGGTTCGGACATATAGAGAGAATGGAGCGAAACAGAATGACTTCAAGAGTGTATCAGTCTGTAGTGGAAGGAAGGTGGTGTAGGGGTCGGCCTAGGTAAGGTTTGAGGGAGGGGGGTAAAGGAGGTTTTGTGTGCGAGGGCTTGGACTTCCAGCGCGCATGTGTGAGCGGTGTTTGATAGGAGTGAAGGGAGACAAATGGTTTTTAGTACTTGACGTGCTGTTGGAGTGTGAGCAAAGAAACATTTATGAAGGGGTTCTGGGAAACCGGCAGCCGGACTTGAGTCCTGGAGATGGGAAGCAGTGTCTGCACTCTGAAGGAGGGGTGTTAATGTTGCAGTTTAAAAACTATAGTGTAAAGCACCCTTCTGGCAAGACAGTAATGGAGTGAATGATTGGAGATTGGAGAGTTCCGGGGGTCAACGCCCCGCGGCCCGGTCTGTGGGCCAGGCCTTTCCTTAGGTCGTGTCCCAGGATGCGACCCACCAGTCGACTAACACCAGGTACCATTTTATGATGGGAAACTATAGACAAAGTGGAAAGAAACACTCCAATGTTTTACTCTGGTGGAATCGAACCCAGGCCTCACCGTGTGAAGCGAGAGCGTTAACACCAGGCACCAGAGTATTTTTTTTCGGGCCACCCTTCCTTGTGGGAATCGCAGTGTGTTAATAATAATAATAATAAATAATAATATATATGTATTATATTATATAATTATAAATATATATATTTATATATATATATATATATATTTTAATATATATTAAATATATATATATATATATGCAAAACAACCACTCTGAAGATAGAGAATTTCAAGGCTTGTGACTACTACATTATCAAGGAACTATAGTTCCTTGATAATGTGAGTAGTCACGAAAGCGCTTGGAATTTCTCTATTCTTTCAGAGTGGTTGTTTTGCATATTCTGAAATCACCTGTTTACTGTGATCTTATTGCATATATATATATATATATATATATATATATATATATATTATATATATATATATATATATATATATATATATATATATATATATAGGGAAGTACCACCTCTATGGCTGGAATGGGGACCCTCATCTCAGAGAAGACAATAAACGTACCTCAGGGAAAGCTATATATATATATTTTTTTTATTATCACACTGGCCGATTCCCACCAAGGCAGGGTGGCCCGAAAAAGAAAAACTTTCACCATCATTCACTCCATCACTGTCTTGCCAGAAGGGTGCTTTACACTACAGTTTTTAAACTGCAACATTAACACCACTCCTTCAGAGTGCAGGCACTGTACTTCCAATCTCCAGGACTCAAGTCCGGTCTGCCGGTTTCCCTGAACCCCTTTATAAATGTTACTTTGCTCACACTCCAACAG